GCCAGGGGGCGGGGGAGGGGTCTTGCGCCGAGGCCAAATGGGGCGCGCGCTGGGGAGAGCGGGAAGGTAAGGGGGCGCGAGATGGGCCTGGGGGCCTGAGGGGAGAGTTGGGAGGTGGAGGGAGAATGGGGTGTTCTGGTGAAAGAGGATACTTGGGGGGTATCTGGGGGTGCCATGGGTCATGGTGAGGTGTGGAAACTGGGGTGATGAGAGTACCTGGAGTTTGGGCTAGTTGGTGAGGGGCAGCATGGGAGTCAGGCCTATGAGCTGAACCCCGGTGTGTATCCCTCTTTCCTGACAGTGTAAATGAGCAAAGATGGATCAAGAAGGTGGGGGAGATGGGCAGAAGGCCCCGAGCTTCCAGTGGCGGAACTACAAGCTCATCGTGGATCCTGCCTTGGACCCTGCCCTGCGCAGGCCTTCTCAAAAGGTGTACCGCTATGATGGAGTCCACTTCAGTGTCAACGTGAGTACACCTGGCCTTTCCTTGCCTTCTAGGCCATCTCAGGCACCACTCTCCTGGTAACTCAGTTCAGCACCAAAGAATTTTCATACCTGTAAAAGTGGGCTACCAGACCTAGCTCTTCAAATGGGCTTCTTTGAGGTGGGTAATGTGGTAGGTAGCACCCAGAACTGTCTTTCTGTTACTGCTTTCCTTCCTAGGACTCAAAGTACATACCAGTCGAAGACCTTCAAGACCCCCGTTGCCATGTCAGGTCCAAAAACAGAGACTTTTCCCTCCCAGTCCCTAAGTTTAAGGTATGTGTCTGTTACTCTCTTCCTGTGGTGGCGCTTGGAAGGTGTGAAGTACTGATAGTCTAGTCATAGTGTAGCCAAGTATACGTGGTTTTTCCAATGAAAGAACCTCAGCTAGATCTGACAGCCTCAGAGCAGCAAGACTGAGTTGTTCTGGATAGGAGGTGTGTTTATCTTCTAGAAAGGTATAGGTGACGTGTCTCAGGCAGGGGTGTTGATTTGAAGGATGAAGTAAAGATGGGCTTAGTTCTTCGTCTATCACTGTACTTCCAGACAGTGTGTTACATGACAGTATCTTTGTATGGTATTTCAGCTTCTCAACAGTTACGGGGAGTGACAAGTCCAGACACTCCATCTGAGAGTCCACTGTTCTTTCCCTCACTGGGCCATTTGACCTTATATCTTGTTTTCTCAGAGTATGGGCAGGATATGTGTCAGGCCTTTGACTATACCTAGAAAGAACTGCTGGTTCTTAGTTTCCTTTACTAAATTTCTAGTCCTACTTTCCAGATATATTATTTGCAGTATTCCTTTATCCCGCTTTCATTTTGTATACTTTCCCTGAACAATGTCTTTCACATCTGTGACTTCACACCTATGACTTGTGTCACACCTATTATCAAAATATTGATATACAAATTGCTATTTTCAGCTAAACTCAGTCTCTTGAACTTGTATGTCTGGTAGAGGAACAGCTCAATTTGGACACCCCATAGATATCTCAAACTCAAGGTATCTACAAACGCGCTTTACCCTTAATTGTCTCTTTTCCCTTTGCTGATGTGTGACACCACCATCTATTCAGTTACAGAAACAAAAATCCTGCCAGTTATGATTCTCCTTGTCCTTTATCTGTCAAATAATTGGTTGTGAAGTCCTGCTGATTTTTCCAATTGTAAATAAAGCAGCAATAAACATGGGGGTGCAGGTATCTTTTTGAATCAGTGTTTTTGTGTCTTGTGGGTAATCTTGCTGTTTTTTTTTTTTTTTCATGAACATGTCTTTTTAAAATTTTTCTGTTTTCATTGCTACTATTTTAATGCAGACTTTATTTCAGTCCACTATGCTGCCAGTGTCTCTTTCGTTTTACTGTTGTCTTACTTTACTTTTGTTGCCAAGTTCATTGGTTCTGTGCATTGGCACATAAGGTTATTTATTGATCCGGTAAAGCCTCATATCCTGTTTTGGTACTGCACACCAGTGTTCCATTTTCTAATACTCTTGGCACTCTTGTGTCAGTTTGCGTTGTCTACTTTCTGAACAAAAATCCCCTTCCTGTCCCTTACCCCATCATGATTTTTAAAGTCATTATATTCCTAGTGCCCAGGCCATGGTAACCACTTAATAAAAGCTAAGTTTGGGAATTATTTCCCTACAGCTACTTCCATCCATTTATGTTTATTCCTCAGCTTACACACTTTTGTTCCTTTTTTTGCCATTGTTCTGTGGTGGAATTTAGAAAAGAGAGGTGTTAAGACTGATGTATCCCTCTTGGCAGCCCCATATCCCATTGCCTTGCTCTTATTTCCCAGTCCAAATTCAATGTTGTGATCTCATTAAAATGTCCAAAAGGGCAAAGGAACTGTGGACAGTACGAAGACCCCATATTTGACTTTTATTCTCTCCACAGCTGGATGAGTTTTATATCGGACAAATCCCATTGAAGGAAGTAACTTTTGCAAGGCTGAATGACAATGTGCGAGAGACCTTCCTGAAGGATATGTGCCGAAAGTATGGTGAGGTGGAAGAGGTAGAGATCCTTCTTCACCCCCGTACTCGCAAGCACCTGGGCCTGGCCCGTGTGCTCTTCACCAGTACTCGGGGAGCCAAGGAAACTGTCAAAAACCTCCACCTTACCTCTGTCATGGGCAACATCATCCATGCCCAGCTTGATATCAAAGGTGAGGGTTCTTTTGCTTGCTGCTCTCAGTGGACTCCAGCAGAGATTGTACATGCCTATGTCTGCTGGGGCCAGTTAAGTGATCGTGATTGTTCAC